TGTCCAGTTATTAGTTGAAAACCATTTTGACAAGAAGTCTACATTGATTCAGGATAAAAAAGTAGTTTTCTTTTTAATTTTGTCCTTTTTACTGATATGAAACGTAAAAGAACTGATTATGTAATGGTATGGTGAAGAAACACCTTAACAGTGGTGGTAAGTAAGCATGCATTGAACAAATAAATATAAACAGAACTGTCAACATGGACAAAGTTTTAAAATACAAGGTCACAGTTACCTTAACCTTTGACCCCTCAGCCCAAAAATCATTAAGAGTCAAGACTGTGAAATCTGAGGGCCAAGAGCCTAAGGGTTGTGAAGTTATAAGTCAGAAACCAAGAGCCCCTTTATTGTCGAGTAATTAGTCAAAAACTGTTTTGACAGCAGTAGATAAGACCTTAACCTTTGGCCCCTCGACTCGAAAATCAAAAGCGATCAAATTAGAAATTAATTAGACTTTGCCATTGTTTCAAATCATCTATGAATCTCAAGTTTTATGTATTCACTGAAGGACATTTGAAAAACATGCAATACATAGTAATGTTTTATAATACATTTAAGGTAAAACATGGCAGTCTCAGAAAAGATAGCATCAAAACAATTTTCGTCATCAACAACATCCATGGCATCAGATGAAGATCTTCAACTTTACTGCCAGCCTTGTGATGAGGAAGGAACTAGATGCCCTGCCCATGGTTACTGCACTGACTGCAAGGAGCACCTTTGCAAGACATGTTTTAAAGCCCATAGGATAAACAAGTTTACCAAAAAGCATACACTTTTGGATGCAGCAAATATGCCGAAAGTTTTGCAGCAACCCTCAACATCCCTTCACACAGGCCTGTTGGATGACTTGACCTTGCCATGTGGTAAACATCCAAAAGAAATGATCAAGTTCTACTGCAATGATCATACAGAACTTCTCTGCAGTGTTTGTGTTACCCTTGAACACCAAGATACTTCCTGCAAAGTCAACTATATACCAGACATTTCTGGTGATATAATAGACAGCAAAGAATATCAAGTTTTCTTGAATGCAGTAAAAACCACTTCTGACCAATTTCAACAGATATTAAAAGATGTCAAGAACATGACTCACAAATCAAACAACTCTCTGAAAGATACATTAGTTGACATCAAAAAGTTTCGGCAAGAAATCAACCAAAGACTAGATGAACTTGAGAGACAGGCTGAAGATACAGTTAAAGTCATAGAACAAAAAAATAACAAACATATGAAAGCAGTAGAAACAACATGTGAAGAAGTTACCAAATCTCTGAATATATCATCAGACAAAATCAAGCAACTCAACACAAGAAAACAAGCTGACAAACTCTTCATTGATTTGAAACTTGCAGAGAAAGCAATCAAAGATATGGAGGGAAAACTACTAAAACTCTCATCAAATGATATCAAAGAGTTCAACTTTCAATCCAATGATGTAATAACAAATTTGTTTAAAACAGAGAAGTCACTAGGTACACTGACACAGAAAACTTTAAAAACAGAATGTCAATCTGTACAAATACAGTCTAGACAATCTTCACATGAGGGAGAAATCTGTGTGAAGACACCAAAAGATAAAGAAAAGTGCTATATAACAGGGATGACTCTGCTGACTCCTGATCTTCTTATCATCACTGACTACAATAACAAAGCTGTAAAGATGGTGGACACCAGCAGTCAATCTGTGTCTGATCAACTACAACTAGATGGTGAACCATCCGATATCACCACAGTAACCAGTACTGAACTTGCTGTCACACTTCCTATCAAACATACAATACAGTTTATATCAATCTCATCAAACAAACTCACAAAGATGCACACTGTGAAGGTTGATGGGAAATGTCATGGTATAAGCTGTTACCAAGGTAAACTTGTTGTATCATTCTCTGATCCTACAAAACTACAGACCTTTGATATGACTGGCACTATACTGACAACAATTGATGGAAAAAAAAATTTCAAAGTTCCATATTATATCACATGTAACAGAAGTTCAATCTACATATCTGACTGTCACATGAAGACAGTGACAAGATTAAACTGGCAAGGTGATGTGTTTGGTAGTTATTGTGGTATAAGTTTCCCTATGGGAATGTCACTGTCAGATGATGGTACTGTCTTTGTGTGTGACTGGGGGAGAAATGTTATAGAAGAGATATCAGGAGACTGTTCTACAGGGGAGTTGGTGCTCCAGGATCTGAAGACACCAAGGGCTGTATGTTTGTGTGGAGAAACAAAGCTGTATTATAGCTGCAATGCTTTGGATGAAAAATATGACAACTTCCTTCACATCCATAACCTGTCATAGACTTAAACAGAGACTTAGTTGACTTAAATCAAACAATGTCAGCAGTTCTTCAATAGTAAAAAAAAAACTTGCATCATCCATTCTTCTGAAAAATTAGCAAAACACATGTTTAAAGTTTTGTCAGAGTTTATTGTTTTTAAATGTTAAAATCTTATGTTATGAGGGATGAATGATTTAAACACTCCTTTTGTTGTGTTTTTATAAAAGGTTTGATAAGAAACACCAGTCATGCTGGGAATACATGGAATAACAAGAGCACCTCAAGCATTTTTAACGCTTGTCTAAATAACAAAGGAACATAACTCCTATAACTTTTGCTTTCAAGATAATGTCTTACAATCGTGCATTGTGATGTAAGCAAGTATTCAAGTTTCATGTTGATATTATTCACAGTTTTGAAACCATTCTACTTAATAAGCGATTTTGAAAAAAGTAAAAAAAGGGGCATAACTCCAAAAGTATAGCTTTAAGAATAATGCGACTTTAATAATGCTCAGTGTATCAACTGTGCCTTGATGACAACAACAACGACTACAATTCAGCAATCAAAAAACCTCATATTTTCTTCAAAACAGACAAGCTAAAACTGACAACTTTGTTTACATTGATAAATTGACTGTCCTAGGTTATATCAATAAAACCATTCATCTTTTATTTTACAAGTACTTTATGAAATGATAAAACTGGTGAGTTTTCTTTTGTAATCATCAAATGCACTGTTTATATTTTATGTTACAATACCCACCCTGTTCCCAAGATTTTGTACTATATATCATTTTATAACACTTTTATTTAAACAGATCACATGAATAAAATAAAGTATAAGCTGCTTGTTGTTGTTTAAATCAATGGGTTAAAACATAAGAATACTACATGTACATAGTTAAAAGTATCAGTGACTATATAGTTATAGTGGAGATAAATGTAATTGTAAGCTAAACAAGAGCGATTTGTGTATTAAAGCCGGCGATATGCACAAGGATGGTACTGGTCACTCCTATGAAATTTCATTGACATCTCAACAGCACTTTTACCTGTGAAAGTCGGACATGATTTTTCTAATGATAAGGGGAAGTCCAAGGCTAGGTCCACAAAGAGAAATGTAATGAGAAATTCATATCAATTTTGTAAAGGTCAGTAAGGCAATGCTACATGATAATGAAACTTAAATGCGTTTTCCTATATAAGACTATATAAATCAAGTTAATCCCAGCATGGGCCCTATTTTAATCTCAGGAAGACAAGACCTATTTCCTGCACATAATCTTATTATAAGAAATATTTCTGCCAAAAAGTTTTTATTTCTTACTATTAGTTCAAAAGAACATAAAATTTTGAAATTTTGATTAAGTGTGACAAAAAATGCAATTATTCATTATTACATTGACCTTGAACTGAGGCAGGTCAAACCTGCACTCTGCTCATTATGTCATAATAGCTAACATTTCTGCTGAGTAGCATAAATTTCAATCCACTGTTTCCAAACATACAGACCTGACAAGAAGCTGCTTACAGACGGACAGACATCCAGGGTCATAACAACATAAACCAAAAAATTCTGGTCTTTAAATAACAAAGTTATAGCCAATTATAGCAAGCATCAAGCAAAATTCAGTAATTTGACCTTCAAGATCAATGTCATTTATGAGTGAAGGTCATTAATCATTTAATCTACTTGAAGGTCTTGTTATCCAAGTATGAAGACAATCCATTCATAATAACAAAGCAATAGTCAGTTACAGAAAAAATCTACCAAAATTCAAACATTTGAAGATTAGGGCCATTTATGTGTCAAGGTCAAGTTCAATCTTGTTTCCTTGAATGTCTTGTTCAAATGGCTATTGTGTTCAATTTTGTAGACAATCAATTGAGAAACAAGAGGGACATGATGGCCCTGAAATCAATCACCTGTATATAGAAACTCTCCATGACGAGGAACAAGTAATATTGTAAACTATAAACAAAAGCAGATATTAAATCTAAATCTTAAACTAATATCACAAAATTCATATTTGTATCTGAAATAGTGCATGTGTTAAAACATTTGTTTTTAATATATACATATAAAGAAAATTAATAAGCCTCGGAGCGGTGCCAATTTTGACCAAAAGGCTTTTATTTAAACAAACTTGGTAGACACTCACTAAAAATGTTTCATGCTAAATTTATAAGCTCTAGCTCTTTGGGTTTTTCAAAAGAAGTTTTTTTAAGTTATTACTATAAACATATATGAAAAACAATGACCCCAGGGCTTTTATTTGAACAAATTTAGTAGACACTCATTAGAAGATGCTTCATGCCAAATATCTTAAGCTCAAGCTCTTTGGGTTCTTTAAAAGGAGATTTTTTAAGTTTTTTTCTTTTGTTCTTTGAACAATTTTTAAAGGTGACCACAAAAGAAACATTCCTGTGAAGTTCGGATAAAATTGGCTCACTGGTTTATGAGGAGATATCGTTTAAAGTAAAAGTTTACGGAAGACAGACGGACGGACAACAGACGGACGCCATTCTAAAAGCAATCACAAAAGCTCACCATGTCACTTTGTGACAGGTGAGCTGATAAAATAAAATATTGCCAATGCTAAAATTTCTGGATGACAATGACAGTTAAGGAATACTCAAAATTTTTCATTGAAAAAGTAAAGCTAAAATTAAAGTAGAAATATAAAAATCATTTACGTACTTTTATCATTTCCTTATCTCCGGCTGTTTTACTAGCACAAACAATGTCCTCATCCTCATCATACGATAAAAAACAGGAATTACAACCATTTAATGCCATCTTACCCTATAAAATAGATGTCTCTTTATATGCATATACAGTAAAAAAAAAATATGACCTAAACAAAAGGTTTGAATAAAAGAATTTCAACTAAGTCAATGTTGAATGATCAATAAATGTATAAAACCTCTGAATGCAGGACTTTTGGTAAAGTCCAAGCAGGGTCCGGTTTTCAGAGTTTTTCCTGTATTCATTCTACTCAATTGTGGTCAAAATATTCTAATATGTGAAATTAGAAACTAAAATTAATTTCCTGAAACTCAACAACTGGCATAAATTACAATGAAATAGAGATCTCTCCTATCATGTTTCAACATGTTTAATATCTTCCTACAAGTAAGTAACTGGTAACTAAAGCTTAAATTACATGCATTTTAATGTGTTCTTTGCTTTATTTGTCAATGGGGCTTAAATAATACAGTTTTCAGGATGACATAAGTGGTTTTATCAGGAAATAGTGACTCCCTGCAGAGACAATAATACTTTTTATTATACAATTGTATATTCTTTCTACATTTAATACACGTATCACATGCACAAAAAGGACATAACAGAAAAAAACAAAACTTTTTATCTGCAATGAATTTGCTGACATTATGCCAATTATGTTATTTTTAAATATATAATCTGCACTTAGGTAAAACTGAGTCCATTGTGTTTGGGTCTAAACAGAAACTCAGGTCACATTCCAAATTAAACATAAATAGTAATGGCACTGCAATAGAAGCATCCACATCCATCAAATATCTTGGGGTAACTATTGATCAGTACCTGTCCTTTGGTTACATGGCAGACTCAGTAATTCAGAAGGCTAACGCCAGGTTTAAGTTCCTTTACCGTAAGAAAGATTTCCTTACACAGCATACCAAAAAACTGCTTGTCAATTCATTAATTCAGTGCCACTTTGACTATGCCTGCTGTGTCTGGTATAATGGTTTAACTCAGGTCTTGAAAAATAAATTACAGACAACACAAAATAAAATGATGAGATTTGTTCTAAACCTTGATTCCAGAGTTCATATTGGCCCTTCCCATTTTAAATCCCTTAATTGGTTACCAGTTTGTAAAAGAGTTGAACAAATCATGTTATGTCACGTTTTTAAGGTTAAAAACCAAATGGCCCCAGAGTACTTAAGTGATTATTTTGTTTCTCAGGAATCTATGCATTCTTATTGCACCAGACTGAGCAAAAAAGGAGGGTATTGTCTTCCTAAGGTTAAAGGTTCCGGGTCAAAGTCTTTCAGTTTTATTGGTGCTAAACTATGGAACAGTCTTCCAACTTGCATAACTGAAATTAACATATTTCATCGTTTTAAGGTAGCCATCAAAAGTCACTTTTTAAGTAGCATCTAAGTGTTTTTCTTAAAATTTCTTGCAAGAAAATTTTATGTTTTCATTTTTTTATTGAATTATTTTTCGGCTCAGGTTTACTGTTTCATTTTTTGATATTTGTTTTAAATTTTTTATTAAGACTTTAAAAACTTTATCCTTTTTTGAATAGTGTAATCTATGGCATGTTCTTTCCTTACACACTCATAACAACTGTGATATTTTTTTTTTAATGTAATCCTTTCTTACTATGCACATACTTATTTCTTAATGTGATAATGACTTTTTATTTACAATACCTTACATCTTAAATTGTGATGATTTTAAATGATATCCTTCATTAATGTGATTTATCTTATAATTTGTGATATTTTTTTTCTTTTATGAAATACCTCTCTGTGTCATGCCACCAAAGGTATTATCCCTAGTACTTGGTCAGAGGGTTACATTATTCCAATCTATAAAGGAAAAGGTTCGAAACTTTCCCCGGAAAACTATAGACCCATTACGATTTTATCCTGTCTCTCAAAAATATTCACTAGTGTCCTAAATGATAGACTGACAAGGTTTGTCGAAACAAATAACCTGATCCATGGAAATCAAACTGCCTTTAGAAAAAATATGTCAACTCTTGATCATGTGTTTACATTGAATTTTCTCATAGAATTTTTAAAAAAACAAAAACAAAAACTATATGTCGGTTTCATTGATTTCTCTCGTGCATTTGATAATTTACCACGTGCGCAACTTTTCCAAAAATTAATCGATACTGAAATAAACGGAAAATTCCTGAGACTTATTCGCAATATGTATAAAGGGGTTAAATCTTGTATCCAGTTAAATGGCAATACTTCAGCAATGTTCTCGTGCGATATTGGGGTCCGTCAAGGGGAAAATTTGTCCCCACTTTTATTTTCCCTGTATCTTAATGACCTTTTAGCTTACTTGACATCAAAAGGCAATTCTGGGATTACATAAGACTACGCATCCGGCGATAACATAGAAACTCTGACTATCCTAGTTCTTCTCTTCGCGGACGATACTATTATTCTGGCGCGAAACCCTCAAGATTTTCAGAAATGCTAAAATGATTTCTACTCATACTGCAACGAATGGAAACTGCAAATAAATACAGAGAAGTTTTCGGCTCGAATAAACGCGGTACGTAACCTAACATTTTACATTATTGACATAACATATATTTCCTATTGACATGACAGAAAAATATAAGTATTTGGGAGTTGTTTTAGTCCGACTGGCAAATTTAACAAAGCACGTGACCATATTATAACCCAAGCAAAAAAGGCGATGCATTTGTTATACAAACGTATTTTTGCCCTAAATCTACCTTTAGATCTTCAGCTTAAATTATTTGATAACACAATCTTACCCATACTCACATTTTCAAGCGAAATATGGGGTATAGAAAATAACAACGACATAGAAAAGGTTCATTTAGATTTTCTAAGAAAAATTACAAATACAAGGAAAAGTACCCCCGCTTATATGTTATATGGGGAATTGGGGCGTTATCCGTTGCAAATAAATATCAATACAAAAATAATTCGGTTTTGGAATATTTTAAAAACAAATGATTCGAATAAATATTCAAATATTATTTACAAAATAATGATTCAAAGTGATAACTCCTACAGATGGCTAAATTCAGTAAAAGATATTTTAAACAATACAGGTTTCCCCTATCTATTCTTGAATCAAGAAGATATCACTATAAAAAATATCCATTTACTAATAAAGCAAGTGCTAGTAGATCAATTTATAACAGATTGGAATGGAAAATTACAAGCCTCAAACAAAGGAAAATTATATTATTTGTATAAACAAGAACATAAAAGAGAAGACTATTTAACAATATTACCGAAAAACTTGTACATACCGCTTCTTAAATTTCGTACAGCTAATCACCGTCTTCCGATAGAAATTCTAAGATATAACAATACTCCATACAACGAGCGTATCTGCGAAGAGTGCCGAACACTTGGAGACGAATTTCACGCAATTATGTCCTGTAAACGTTTTACTGTCATACGGAAAAAATATATCCCAGAATATTATTATAAACATCCAAATGTAATCAAGTATAATGAATTGTTAAATAGTACCGACTATGCTACCTTGAAATCTTTAAGTATGTTTGTTTCATATATTTTGAAACAATAAGTTGCTTTCTTCTTATAAATAAAATTAAACAACTCGCCAGGTAAAATTTACTCTGATTGGTCAACGCTACCGACTAAATCCACTTTATGAATGAAATTCCTAGACTGACATGATTACTACAAAATAATCGTGCAACACAATAGTAAATCGTGTCTTTGTATTTATACAGTTATTTGAGATTATTACGAACGTATAGATACTGTTAGTTTTATTCTAATGTCTCCAATTTTTTATAGTATGAAAACTGCTAGATATAAAGTACTAGTTGGGAGAAATTGACTTGTATAATTATTCTAAATAGAACTTAATTGTGTACATGCAAAAATGCCCGGTTTTTACACTGTTCCCCTGGTAAAGGCTATTTAATCAAAACTTTCATAACATTAGACACGTTATTCTTATAAACTGTTGTTTTCGAAATATTTTTTGCATGTCTCGTTCTATATAAATTGTTAACCCACATATGTTATAATACTGATATTATTTGTAAATTGTCTGTTGTTACATTATATGTAATCTTGACAAAATAAAGAAATATTGTATTGTATTGTATTGTATTGCTAAGGACCACAATGGAAATAATAGCTTGCTATTTTTTGTGTTATCCTTGGTTTTGGGAACATGTCATGGTTTACATAATATAGTATTTATTCATTTATTTATTTATTTGTAATTGTTTTAATCTATATTGTGTTTGTTTATCATGTAACATGTTTACCTTTATGCCGAAATAAATCTATCTATCTATCTATAATCTAAATTCAACAAGGTATATAATCAAAGAGTTATTATAGGAGTACCTTAATCTATTTTTTGTATATATTTAACTAGAATGGATCAGACTTGTTGCTTAGATACCATGCCTTGTGAGATCTTGTCTGAGTATAATCCACTCGAATAAAATATGAGTTTCAGATCATGATTCTTCAATAATAACATTATTGTATTAGGCAGCTAAAATTGGGTGGTCCATAATCAATAAATAGGTTGTATCAACCAGAAACTTGCTACATGCTGAAAGCTTTTCAATTTTCAGTGTTGAACGTGAAATATTTTAGTTAAACTGACATAATTTCTTTCCTTGTAGCAGAAATGCTTTCACTTCATGTTGAATTAAATTGTGGTGTGGGATAATACAATGTACAATGTATAAGAAATATTTGTAGAATAAAGAGGACATTCTAGGTCTTCCTAAATGCCGTATGACCATTTACAGTGTTTGCGGGTGACTTGCATCGTAAATCCCACCAAATCATTATACATGTATTTTCTTACAAACCTCTTGAAATACTGGTTCCCATTGTTCTTTGCTTCCAATTGCCATTGACCTTCCTATGACAAGGTTACTGGTTCCCACACTTATGTATTGATCATAACCAGACTTAAATGCTACTTTTGTTTCATCAACTTTCACTGCTGTCAAAATTTCTTCTGGCTCTGGACCAGCTTAAGATAAACAATCAAAGAGAAAATAATATTTGCAATAAAACAAACAAAAACTGTTACCCTTATACTGTACTTATTGACCTGCAGACATTTTCACAAAAAACTTACGACAATTTTCTATCCTAAGAGAAATCTTACGATAAATCTCCTTTCAACAAAAAATCTTAAGCAAAATCTATCGTAACTTTACGATAGGTGTTCCCCTTTCATAAGTGTGATATTTTTTCTCTTAAGAGTAAAATATCATGACTTACATTGTATCTTTTATTTAAACAGAATAAAAACAAACAAAAAATGGACAAATATATATTAATTATTTAATAAGCAAACAGTTTGTTATAAATAACACAAATTAAGTTAAAATTATTTACCAACATAACATTTCTGATGTCATGACTTGATGACGTCATGGTGGAGAGGGTTACGAATAGTTTATATGTGAACTCTATAGAATTATTTTTGATAACTAATGTTTTGTACAATTTGGTGGGTTTGATTTCAATGCCAGCATGTACTAGTGGCACATTTTTATTTATTAATACCTTAGCAATAACATAGCAGACTTTGTTTCTATATCAATTAGATCCATACAATTATTTTAAATCAAGATAGAAAATATATCAGTTTGAATGATTTTTTTCTTCTTATTGTAACTTGATTGTGTTCAACACATATTTCAAGCTCTTTATTACTTGATTTTTAACTGGAAACAAATATAGAGCATGCACATCTCTATCAAATGACCAGTTGCGAGGGATGTTTTTATTGTAAGATTTATCGTAAGTGACTTTTTTTATCTATAAAATTTAATTTACAAGTGGCTTTGTGAAAATGACTTAAGATTTAACTTACAGGTTAAAAACTTAGGATAAATCATAAGATTTTTTTGTGAAAATGTCTGCTGGGTCCCTAATCATTAACATTTAAAGTCTGAATTATGGACCTTAGACTTAATTTGCTAGAAATTCTTTCGTGTATTAAAGAAGATATTGATAAAAGTATGCTGAGCTTATTGTAGAAATATTATATGTGATAAGCGTTTCTATAAAATTTCATTACTGTAACAAACCATACTTACTTACATGTAACATAAAAAAAGGTTAAACATAAAGCATGAAATTTGTAAATGTTTGACAAAGATTCAATAAAGAAAACAGCTCTTTGACTATCTCATTTACTAAATCAAATGAAATATCAACTAAAGAGGTATAAGGCTATCATGAGATAATATCATAGTTTTATAGATACATGTAACTATATGCTTTATCTGACAATGGAATCCACCTTAGCTCTGAGAAAATTTCAAATGCTAGAATTTTCAAGTTATCAAAAATTGTACAATGATAAGATATATATACCATATTCATAATATAATACTCTATATAACATTACCTGCATTGACAAAAAATGTATAATATGGGTGTATCATTTATCTCACTTATAAAATTCAAAATTTCTTTTGCAAAACATGTCAAGGACAATCTTAAATTGTCACTTGTAAAATGTAATACCTTCTCTTGGTGGCCCTAGAACAAATCTGCCATTATCCTGAGCAAACATGTATCTTTGGTCTTCCAGTTCAATACAAATATTACCAGTGATCTGACCAAACTTTGATACAACCCACCAACCACCTGTAATAGTAAAGATTCATTTTTTTTAAAGTCAACCAGCAAGAGGCAAAATCCATTAATAACATATTTAGCAGGTATGGTTGGATTCACCAGGGGCTTAAATGGCTGAAGACCCTGTCCTCAACCCTCCCCTAACCTAATACCCTGACTTGCTGCCGTTGCTAGTTGTTTTTCTTGAAGAAAACAAACATAAATATAATCCCAAAATTGCATAAATTGATTTTAGGATACTAAATCCTTATTTGAAGCCTAGACTACTGCTGAGTTTTCTGTCATTAAACTCGAGCATCTGGCCCTATCACCAACACTGCATACTGTTAGGTTCAAGATACTTTCAATGATTTACATTATAATTTCAAGCATGTGCAGACAAAAATTTCAAGCTACTGAGTAAGTAGCCCTACTGCAGATTTACTGTAAAATTATAAATAGCTTGCTGAATGTCATAGATACAGACTGTTTGAATCAAAATGGCATTATAGACAGCAGTTTAAAATAAAGCCTTACTAAAGCCTAACATTCTGTATATCAATGTACATGTATATTATTTCATATTAGTTACCTTAGATTACTGAACATTAAGGCTTTCACTAGTCAGCAATACAGTGTCTTATTTTTGGACTCTCTTATTCAAATAATAATACTGGAAGCATAAATGTATAAATTTGACCAAGAGATATTTCAAATACAATGTAGATTATGGAGGAGCCAGGTTCATTATAAGCTTTAAAATCTGTAATAAGCCACAAACACTTGAGCTTTCGTAAGTCAGTCTGTATTGTTCTAACAATAAACATCAACATTCCTCTATATTTTAAATCTTAACATTGCTTGTGAAAAAGTCCTCGGATTGTATTTCATTTTGCTCTATTTCATCCTTAAGTTTTTTATACATTTATTGTCTCTTTAAAATAAGTAAATAATTCTCACAATATCAAACTATCTATATCTGAAATGCACCTACCATGCTGAGCAACATCAGACCTATCATCTGTTGAAGATCCCGAGGCAACTTCCTCCCCATCATCCAGCTTCCTTTTCTTACTCTTCTTGTGCCTATTTGAATAAAGTTTTGTTATTAATAATGTATCATATGACGTGATATGTATCAGTTGGGCAAACAAGGCATAAGTACATGTATACCAAATTAGAAATACGAGTCTTAAGTATTTTCTAGCAATTTTCTAGTATTCACTGAGACATACTTACAAATTACTGCTGATTTACTCAAATGCCAATATGGCTACTGGTCGGGCACCATCAACTGGACACTTTTTAGACATTTTTCCATGCAAATTTCCTAATTTTAAAGCTAGAGATCTAAAAATTTGAGACAGTACAGCTAGGTTCTTCTCCTAACTATCAACCTTGTTTGTTTATTTCTGATTATGTTGACACTTAATTTGAGTCCTGTCAAGGAAGGTATAAAAATTACCAAAATTGTCCACACTACAGTACTGTGTGGCCGGACAGATATTTCATGACATTGATTTAATCCAGCTAAAAGCTGGGCTGTTTTAATTTTTTTTTTAACATGATAAGTTGAAATAAATCTAATTACACAATTATAGAAGAAACATGCATTTATTGCTGATAAAAAGGCGACTGACTGATTGACAACCACTGAACAAAGAAACAAACTAAATCAGGCATTTTCAGGGTCACCTGGGTTTGATGGTTGTTCGGTTTTGGTGGTCCTCGACCAGTAATCTCTCAAGTTTAAATATATCAGTTAACATAATTTAGAAAAAGAATTCTGAAAATATTTTTCAGTGACAATATATACATGTACTAGTATGTGACCTTTGGTTTATATCAGTGTGCAAACATGTATATTTTGTTATGTAATCTTGCTAGGACAAAAATAATTTTTGTCCTATAACCTGGTAATGCCTAATGATAATTTGTTTTTTTCTCACATGATGTGCAAAATTGGATCTCTGGTCATCATTTCAATTTAAAATTGTAGTGTTTTAAGATATTATGTTAGTGAGCTCTATAAGTAATGACAGGTAAACATGTTGTAGAAGTTCTATTTTAACAGATGTCCGAAATCATCATCATCCGAAAATGATACAATTTTCAAATCATAAAATAACGACATAAGACATTAAAAGAAAGCTTATTACTTTTTGTGCTTGCTCCCTTTCAGTTTAAGCTTTCCTCCTTTAACACACGAATATGAATCTGCCATGATTTATACTTTTTACAACGAAAGATTTACGTTTTCCCGTTTATTGTTTTTTTCTGGGTACACTCTAAAGTTTTAACGACTGTGAACACATCGGACCTTCCATCACTGGAGCTACTGGCGTTTTTTGCACCTTACACTATTATTTTTGTATTTTCTTGAAAAATAATCTTTTTGTTGTTTTGTATATTTTGTACGAGGGGCATATTTTAATTAGTGGCAAAAACTCAATTTAACCATGTTTTGCACGTGAAAGTACGTGTATAATACTGATTATTGATTTTTTTCTAAACAACAGTCTATTTTCGCACGATTTGCACGTGCAATAAAATTTTAGCACCTGTGGTTTTGTATACTAGTTGTAGCATGATTGAGTTTTTTTTGCATTGTGACAGAAGCCCCTGTGATTTGAGAAAGGAGCAAAAGGCTTGGATTATTGTCAGAAGTAAAAACGGAATGGAGAAAATGCCTCCCATATCGTGGGTGTCAATGTTTAGGGAAGATAGAACTATGTTATGGATGATCCCCGCCCGGGCGACCAATTTCCGCTACCTCTGAAAAAAAGACATCATCACTGTCAAAGCCATAGTTGATATATACCGTGGAAGAGATGAGTGACACATCGGGCCTTCGAGAAAATTTGCGCCCGTTAGATTCCGTATCTGATTACTTCTGACAAAAAAAAGGGGAACGGGTTGAAACAATCTTCGGCCTTATTGACTAGGTTAAAAGATCGAGACCATATACCCTGAGAGAAATTGTCATGGTATGAAACTTGGCTTTTTTAACCCGACAATAAACTCAGTAAGTAAATGAGAGTAGATTATAACAGCGATCGCCCAGTTGTTGCTCGGCGTACTGCAGTATAGAGGGGAGCGTTAAAACAGTTATGTACGCTCTTTTTTTAACAGTCCGTGTCGCTGTACCTGAGAGGGGTAGTGTCACTCACAGGCACGAGTATCGGACCTGGGAAGAAAAAATACGACCAGATTGATAAAAAAACCTGTGTTCATCTTAAAAATGTCAAACAAAAAACAAAAAATGTAAATAATGACCCCCTTTAAAAATATACTATAAGTTAAGAGTATATAACTTAACTTATAGTATATTTTTAAAGGGGGTCATTATTTACATTTTTTGTTTTTTGTTTGACATTTTTAAGATGAACACAGGTTTTTTATCAATCTGGTCGTATTTTTTCTTCCCAGGTCCGATACTCGTGCCTGTGGTGTCACTGGAACATTTTACCGTGACCATGTTCTCACTGCTGTAGTTAATTACTACATTACATATGATCCAGGTTTAGGGGTGCACAGGATCAAATTACACCCATGATAATGCACCTGCGCATCGGTCAGCCTTAATTGGTTCTAGCTTATTTAGAGGATCAGACTATTGAGGTTTTGCTACATCCCACAAATAGTCCTGACTTCTCTCTCTGACCTTGTGACTTTGGTTTAATCCATACATCAAACCTTGCCTTCGAAACCAATAGTGCCGCCGTTGCCACTAATTAAAATATGCCCCTCGTATATATCTAATTATTTATATTTTAGTGGAAAAAAGACGACGATAAACGAAGACACAGAAGAGAAATTCATCCTCAGGAAACTTAGCTAAAGTGTAGAAAAAAACACACACGCGCACGCACACACACACACGCACACGCACGCACGCACGCACACACACACACACATTTAGCTAAAGTATAAAACACACACACACACACACATTCCACTACACCCGATTTTCAAATTATTATCAGAAGAATACGTATATAACACTTGGATATTTTCAAAGATAGTATGTTTTTAAAATACTGGTTAAAGATCCTGTAACACATTATTTTTATGGTTTTATATTCAAATTATGATGCTCAAATTAAGATTTATCCATATTGTAAGTTTCAAAAAACATTATTTATAAAGATATTACCGAATTTAATATTTCATGTAAATAAAGGGAGGTAATTAGAATTTAGTTTTCTATAAATTCTAAGTCAATTTTTCCAATAAGAAATGAATGCATATAATTTAATGATTACCTTAAATATGTACAAATATTTGCAATTCATATTTTACATATTCTTCCATGTTTGAAAATTGACAAATTTGCATAATTACATACATATATAATTCAATGAAGAGTGGTATGCAATCTCGATTACAAAACATACAGGATCTTTAAATCTTTCAATATGTCTGGTTCTTGAAGAACAATCAGCGCAACATTTTCGCGTCCTATATACATGTATAATTAAACCTTTCTGATCACATCACACAATCACACAAACCACGCCTTGAATATTTACAATACAGACCTCCTTAATCATGAAGTGAATATTTGACGTCTAATATAGGCCTATACTCTTATTTGTATTGAATAATCGAAAAATTACATCAGATTTTTACCAATATTAATTATTTTTACTGTATGGGCCTTTAGAAATAATTACAGTTTGTGTTATTGTGTAATGTAAATGAGGCAGTTACTGCCAACTTGTACGTGAAACGAGTAAAATACTTGACATATCAAAGATATCTTGTTTTTCTATTAATTCAAAAAGTAAAATTAATATTATTACTTTCTTTTTTTCTTTATTGCAATTCGTTTCAATCAGAATTAACTTAAGCACGGAATGTGAGATTTCAGTAGAGAAAAAAGTATTTTCTATTTTCACATGTATATTGATATCTCAAACCAATGGACAATGGTGTATACTGTCAAATACCGTGCATTGATTTATCATATATATTCAGAAAGCGTTTTATGACTTCGTGCTACAACAATTTTAAAACAAATCTGTACTAATTAAGACTTCTTGTCTTTATGGCACAAGGTTGATATCTTAAAACTATTTGAAACAGCATACCAGTTTACAAGTGTTATGGTTATTTTACAGATATTAGATGTCTGTTACAGCATTGATAGGAAAGTGCCCCGTCTTTATACAGGGAGATGAAAAGAAGTTTGTATTTAGGTACAAAGATTTTAAACATTAAACTGAATAGCTTTGTTTGATTTAAAATTAGGTTTGAGCAACTTTATCCATTTTTATGGCATACTTTTTTTTTGAACTTTGGATCTGTATTACAGATGCAGACACGTCCCTCCCGAGTTTTAAATAATTTAGTAATTCCCCAAGAAAACCCATCTTTGGTTTTGGCCCTTTGGAATAGTATTTTTTTATAAAAACCCCAAAAATATATGAATAAAATTGATATTTATGAGCATCGTGTAAAAAAAAGCAACCCTTTAATCAAATTTTTTACATAGGTAAAAAATTAGTGTGATTTCTTTAATGTAAAAATTTGTGATGAACGTAATAAGAATGTTAGGACCATTTTTAAAGATATAAAAATGCTTTTTTAAAAAATATTGTATATGAACATATTTTGACTTGTAAATACGAAACGATAAATATATAAGTATTGTATTGGTACATAATTATATACAAAGCAAGCAGTATTTACAAAATCAACTTACAGTGAAAAACATTTTGATTTCCGAGCTTATCAGAAAATATTATGTCCCAACCTGAAAAACATGTATATATGGTTTGGAAGTCTCTATATCATTCATTTAAGCTATGCATACATTGAAATGAATCATAATAAACTCGTTTTTGTCAAATAAACTTTATAACATATATATCGGTCTGCAGCTGTTTCTTAATACAAGCGGGGTATTACGTTTTGAATTGCAGATAATCAAGATATTATAATATGACTGTACACGTGTATAGCATACGATTTACGGTAAAGGATTACAGTGTAACAGTCATTAATGGATTTATTAGATCCCTTACTGATTTGTCCGTTGACTTTTACAATGTAAGCATTGAAACAGGGATTTAATGTAGTGAATTAATGGTAAGTGTGTTTCGTTATTATTAATGATAATGTTGTCTCTCCTATCTTGCTACAGGAAATAAAGACGAATTGCATCATTTTTGACCGAATTAAGCTATAACAGTTAAGGAAGCTTTGTAACTTGAATATAGCAAATATATGTTGTTTCAATCTTAATATAGAAAATATGTGTTGAGCAATTATTATGTTTCAATCTAAATATAGAAAATATGTGTTGTTTCAATCTAAATATAGAAAATTGTGTTGTTTCAATCTAAATATATAAATATGTGTTATTTCAATCTAAATATAGCAAGTATGTTGTTTCAATCTAAATATTGCAATAAGTCTCGTTTCATTCTAAATATAGAAATATGTGTTGTTTCAATCTAAATATAGCAAGTATGTTCTTTCAATCTAAATATAGAAAATATGTGTTGTTTCAATCTAAATACAGCAAGTATGTTGTTTCAGTCTAAAAAGCAAGTAAGTCTCGTTTCAAACTCAAAATAGAAAATATGAGTTGTTTCAATCAAACAAATGTTTTCATAAATTACGCCTTGTGAAGTTCACATACATCTTAAGACTTTGTATTGTCGATACATAACTAAAATATAAATGTTACACGAGAATGGGGGACTTTCTCTTGGCTTATATATATCTAATGAACTTCTTTAATGGTTTTAAGTTTCTTATGCACTCTATCATGAAACAAACAAAAAATCTCCACTTACAAATCAGTGTTTCCAAAGTGTAAGTTTCGATGCAACGTGACATTTTTATACATTCAATTGGTATCACGTACTGACAGGAGTGATTGATTTATGAGGATTAGGCTAATAAATTAAACAGTTTATATTTTAAATTCACTTGTGTGCCACTGGGCTATTGTGTCAAATATTGACTTTAGATTTATATGTTTTTGGTATTAAAAAGAAATAAAATTGTACACGTGTACAACTTAATTTAATCTTAATTTATTACGTAGCTATAATTAGCTAATAGGCTGGAGTAAAACAGAAACAAATCACATTCCTGTAAATGTTATCTCGTGTTTAATGCCATATAATATTATTATCAATGAATACGCGTATGAATGGAATAAAATACTCATTTTTTCGGTGATTCTGAGTGGGGACAACATTTATTTAATAATAGTAAAAGCAACCAGTTCGCACCAGACATCATCCGAATTATTGTCGCGTTTTGAAAGCCTTTGTGATACAGTTCAAACAAAATAAAGC